CTTGACGGCCAGCTTTCCTCGTATCGTCTTTTAAATTTGTAACTTGTTCGATATTTAGAACGGAACTAAAATTTTCCAGTAGATTTCGAATTCGTAAACGTTACGATATTGTTCTGCAATTTTCAAAACATTGCAAGTTCTAATTACATTAAAATTTCAAAATGCTGATTATACTTCGCTCGAAAGTTAATTATAAAAATTTGCTTTCAATCCTAAATTTGAATTTTGAAATTAATTAGATACAAGTATCAGTGGACCAAATGCGTTGATATCTGTACTGATGGTGCTCGTTCTATGTCCGGCTGTTATGAAAGATCGCAAACGCTTATACGAAGCAAAGCTCTTGATGCACTGTGGACCCATCGCGTTATACACAGAGAAACACTCGCATCAAAATATCTGAGTTCTACATTGAATCAGGCTTTAGAATATGTAATAAACGTAGTAAACTTTATAAAAACTCGGCCGTTGAAAGCCAATTTTTTAAAAAACTATTTGAAGATATGGAATCAGGGCACACGTCTTTGTTGTACTACAACATTTCGCGATGACTTCCTCGTGATAATGTTTTGTCTCGTACGTTTAAACTGCGACAGGAAATTTACATTTTTCTTAAAGAGAAACCCCGCAAGTGTGTCGAAAATTTTGTGAATGAAAAGTTTTTGGTAAAACTAGCATATTTATGTTATTGTTGAAAAGCTAAATGCTCTGAATCTCTCTCCGCAGGGAAGCAACGTGCACCTTTTAAAGTCGATTGAGAAAATTTTAGCTTTTATAAAAAAAAAAAAAAAAAAGAACTAAAACTACGGAAAGGAGAAATAAACGAAGACAGAAGAAAATAATGTTACAACAATTTTTTACCTCCAGCGGAGTAGATTTCTCCATAATCCATTTTTCAAAACCATTTATCACAGTTTAATGTGTATCACCTGGTTTGAGAAATATTTTCAACATGATATCGATAAATTTGCATGGATTCAAGATCCATTTAATGCCAGTGCTTCATCTAAATTTACTGCTGTGGAAGAAGAGAATCTTATTGAGTTGTCTTGCCACAATACGTTGAAAACAAAATTTAGCAGAATGGAAATAATTGAATTTTGGATACCAGTAAAAGATGAATATCCTCTTCTGAGTGATAAAGCTCAGAGAATTTTAATTCCATTTGCAACTTCTTTTTTGTGCAAAGCTGGGTTTTCGATAGAAACTAAGTATCGCACGAAAATCAATGTGGAGAATCAAATGGGGGTGGATGTGTTCAATTGGTTCCATGATTTGAGAAAATATGCGGTGATCAACAAGTTCATCCATACCACTAATTATAATTAACTGAATTTGTTCAATTACATTTTTTAAATCTTGAATACGCGTTTTATTTACTTTTAACTTAACGTCCTAACTCTTTAATTAAGTAAATTGCTGGCTGTTTCGCTATTTGGCAAATTTTATTTGTTAGAATTTAACACAGGGCGCCTTGGAAAAACCTGGGCATAGCAATGGTGTCAAGAATCGAAAAAGTTTGGGAACCACTGGTATAAACAATATTATTTCCGTGCACGAAGTCTAGTTTATTAAATGTTTACTCCGAGTAAGTGTTTACATTATAATACAGAATTATAATTTACAACAATAATACAGAATAGGAAAAAAGTCACTTAGCACCCCTGCTACAGAATATAGAATATATCCAAAGTTAATTCGCTGACGTAACGAACACATTAGATCAAGGAGAAAACAGATTGATGTATGTTACACGTACGGCCGCCATTTTGATAGCGGCCGTACGTGATGTAAATGTGTGAAGGGGGTGGTGTAACACGTCATTTAGGGTCAGAATTTCACAAGGAATTGATTGCCGAAAGATTTTATTCGCCTACCTCGAACGGTTACAGAGTTATGCACGTCACGCGATGTGCTCGATGTACATTCTTTATTCTGTAGCAGGTTTTTTCCCCACCCTGTATTTCTATTGTTATAATAAATCAATTAATATATTTATATAAAATGTTCGACACTAAACCGGTATCTGTAATTACAATTTTTCTCAAATCTTCTACTGTTTCCAAACACAATAAAAAAAAGAACTTTTATTGTATTTGGAAACCGAAACTTCCGAAAAACAGATGCCTCTCAATAACGGACGTTATGTTTCACGAGATATACTGTATATTTATTTTTACGAATACCTTCGTGACTACTAATTATACGAGTACACTCATACTCTGAAGTATTCTTAAGATGTTCTCGCCAAAGATGTTAGAATGTGTATGGAGACACGATTTAGTTCAACCACTTTGACGCTTAATAACTAACTCCTGTGTTAAACCATCCGACTCCGATTCTGACCACTTTGACCACAGAAATTATTTGGCTTCAACAGGGTGAACAAAATCATGCCTCCCCACAGTCTAACATCCACACATATAGAAAAAACCTCGAATCTTTTGCTTAATTAACTCGAAATTTCAAGGTGTTCTGAGTCCAAAAATGTAAAAATTTGGGAGAGGTTATTTTTTGACCGAGTACTACACTTTGTTATATATCCTCTGTTATATATAACAGCCGGAAAAGTAAAAATTATCGAATACATATTTATGTATTATTCAGAGGAGTCTTTTAGCTTTGAAATAAAAAGTTTCTACGTTCTATCTTATTAGAACTCTATTTATTGAATCTTTTATTCTGAGGTCACGTAATGACATCAGAATTTCCGGGTTTCTTTCGGTAACTAGTCCGCCCCTGGTCGGAGTCGGAGTCGGATGGTAAGGAAAAATCGGAGTCCGTAGATTTTTACGCGACTCCACAACCCTGGTGAAAAGTTAGCGAAAATCCGGCAAGAAACTTCCTCAATAATTCATTGATAAAGCAAAAAAGTAAGTGGAATAATGTACTAAGCTCATCCAGAAAGTAAGTGCCATTTGGATATTATAAAACATTTTCAATTTGTTTTCATTTGTATTTTATTACAGAAAAATCTACATACCTTAAACTACTTTTCGACGTATTCATGATGAGAATTAAGGCATGTGTCATATCTTGGCACAAATTGCAACATACCCGGCTTCGTAGAATTCGGTCGCCTGCGACCTGAACCAGTTCTGGACGTTTACCTTGATCTCATCATCATGTGCAAAATGATGAGATTTACAGCTTATTGTGATACATTGAAGAAGTTATGGCGCGCGATACAGAAAAAGCGTGGAATACTGACTTCTGGCATTGTGTTCGTGCATGACAACGCGCGACCGCATACCACATAACGACGACGCTGCTTGATTCATTTCACTGGGAACAATTCTGTCACCCTCCTTATACTCCGGACCTAGCTCCGTCCGACTTTCATTTGTTTTCTCATCTCAAGAAATTTCTTGCCGGCCACCACTTTGCAAGTGATGATTATGTCGAAAAGTAGTTTAAAGTATGTAATTTTTCTGTAATAAAATACAAATGAAAACAAATTGCAAATCTTTTTGAATACCCAAACGGTATTTACTTTCTGGATGAGCTTAGTATCTCGGGATTCTATACGATTCGTTACCGAATATATTACAGCAGGAAGTAGAGTATCCCTACCGAATCTATAATTTTTAGCGGTATATTTCTAAAATAAAACCATGTTTTCTGTGAAATTTGGATCATTTTTTAAACTAAGCTACATGGTTTCTTTACTTTTTCTTATAAAGTATTATTGCTTTGAAATTTTTTTAACTTCTGAATGAATAATTAATAGGCATATAATGTAAGTTAAAGCGTCATTGAAAGTTTTTAATTCGTTATAATTAATTTCTTTCAAAAGTCGCTACCCGAAATAAAAAAAATACCAATTTATAATACTTAAAGTAACTGTCAACAACATCAGATTACCAAAGATTATTTGGAGATTAAGAAACTATAGTTTCCTATATCTTACAGTGCAACTAATTTCACATTTTTCTTATAGAATATTTAAATTTTACACAACTGTTTTAGTATATAATAAGAGATTAATTTTTGTTTAAACATACGAATGCACTTTTTATATAACAATATTTATTTTAAAGATTATTACAATTAAACCTTACAAGAGACTTAATTTATATAAAATAAAATTTTAAATCTAATTTCTTTAATCAATACAATTAAATTTACAAATAGGAAACGAGTGTTTACAAACTCGTCAATATCTGTGTTTACATTCAAAAAATATTAAGTTTCTCTCCACTATACAGACTATAAACATAGAATTATCATTTGGAATCAAATATTCTTAGATGTCATTACAAACAATTTTATCTACATTTAATCAAAATATCAGAATTTAAAATTTTATAAACGGCAGTATATTCTCCAACTTCCACTATAAGTTAAGTACAATACTCATCGAACTAATATAGTTTCGTTAGGTGTAGAAGTGAGACTATTAAGGTGCGAAACAAATATAAACGAACACAAACGATAAATCTGACCCTGTTAATGAGGATTATCTTTGGATTTAAATTTATTATGCATAGTTGATAAAAACCATATTTTGTAAATCAATTCTTTTATGGTTTATTAATGGTACATCTCTTACATCCCTGTGGATTAGTTTCTCTATATCATGAATTATAGTTTTATTTACAATAACCCTTTATAAATTATACATTTAAATCATTGCAATAAAATTAATGCTATATATATATATTTAATAACATTATCATTAAAGTATGTGTGTGTATATATCTTCACAAATTCTATTATTCAATATTTGATAATGGTTAATTTAAATTATACATTTCTTTTTTAATTACAGAAAAAACAATTTTAAAATGTATCCTGGATACTATTTACAATATTTAAATTTCCAAACTACACATTTATATACACACAAAGAAAGAAAAATTCAAATACAACTTCGTACATATGTACATAAAAATATATATATATATATATATAATTACATCTTTAAACACATAAGAGGAGATTATGTTTTTACTTGCCATGGTTACGGAAGAAATTTTTATGCTCGCAGTTTTCTTGTCTATCCGTTAAATGAGTTGATTTCGTACCCGTTATCGACTTGGAAAGCTCCTACCTTCTTCGGTTCGATTTTGGCAATATCTTAGATCAGAGATCGAATTTGTACTGGAATGGACTCGTTTGAAGACTTCGACGATTACATGTTGTATATTAAATACCTGGAAATGGTCTGAAAAGTATCGAAAAAATTTTACCTTCTATTGGAATTTTTGAATATTTTATCATTAAATGGTTGTCTGCATTTATTTAATACAAATATCAAGTTTAATCCGTTAATCTATACTTCGTATCGATACGACTTATTGAAAGAATCTTCTGTAGAGATACTTTAATACATAACATTTAGGCAAAAATTGAACACGGCATCAAAAAATATAGATCTATGTTCGGTAACTATGGATTATTAAATGTATCCTTTAACAAATCCTGTCATTCGAGACAATGAGGAATGTAAAATAATGGAAGAATGGGACTGGTCGCTTCCAGTTCTATGGCAGTTGCCAGACATTCGCTTGCAGATTCATAATCACCCATATCCTGTAGCACCTTGCCCATATTGAACCTAAAAGAAAAAAAAATATATTTTTCTAAATTCTACTAATTACAATTTTATTTATTTTCAATGATAAATGCTTTAAATTTCAATTATTTAACTTTGAATTTTATAAATAACATTACCATGATTGATGGGACATGGGATCAATTGTTACTGCATCTCTCAAAGTCTTTTCTGCCAAGTGATTACTACCCAAATTGTGATATACAAGTCCCTATAATTGGCAATAAAATATGTGTTAAATAAAATTAGTTTTAAATTATAATAAATCAATATATCATGACAGTAGTTAGATAATAATCTAAATTATTACATATATGACTATTTTGAAAATAAAAAAACTTCCTTTTTTAATAAATAATTTATTAGAACAATACTGTACTCATTTTTATCAGCTCTTAAAAATTGTTTTTAAGGATACAAAAATCTTATTTTGGGAGTCCCAGTAATTTCTATCAAACTGTTTCTATGAAATTTTCAACTTACAGAAAGTTTCCAGAACCTTTACCAGTATAAGGTAACAATAGTGAAGAAATGTAAGCTTACATTTCTCTCTTACATCTCACTAGATGAATAACAACAATTTAAAATAAAAAATTTCATATGTAGTAAACTAGAAATGTTATTGTTACTTCTCACCCTTCAAAGATTTAATTAATTAATTAATTGAGTAATTAATTAAGGATTTCAATTAATTACAGTATCTTTTAATTTAAAATTTTGTCATAATCTGTATGTATTTTGATAGTACTTATAAGAAACATTTCCAGATTTCTAGAATATGAATAATAAAGTGATATGAATATGACAAATATGAATAAACTGCATTGATACAACAGTAGTCAATGTAACTGAAAAGAATTTTTTTTTAATTTACAACTTAAAAATTAGTAGCAACAGTAATCTCATTACTGTTGAAATACTCCATGTGTAATGTAATGTTTGTGCTACTGATTAGAAATATAATTAAGCACAAAAACCAGAAATCATTGCTTGTTCTAATGTAATGTATATAGTGAAATCATCATATAATGAAAAATTATTTAGATTAAATAACAAATAAAACAAATAGATTAGCAATTAAACAAATGAAAACACTGCTGTCTATAAGCATCATAATACAGTGGATAATCAGTTAATGAACAGTTCAGATTATGAACAAATCAGATAAACACTTTTGAGAAAGATTTTTATATTTGGACAACAAACGCCTCACAGAACAAGTACAAGAAGTGATGTAAAATAATGAATACTGATTGATCTTTCCTTGTCTTCAAGCAACAATTTGAAACTTTTCGGAGTGTGGGAGATATCAACATTAACACTCAACCCAGTATATACAGATCGGATAGTATTCCTCCGAACTTTGAAACTCTCCCTTGTAATTCCAGCCTTTTATTTTTCTGACAAAAAATTTTTTTATAGTATTCATGAGACTCAAAATGCAATGAGTCAGGCAGGCACTCATTACGTTTTGCATTGGTTTTTATTTTTGAAAGGTGAGAGTATAATAGCAAAGGTAGAGAGTGGACAGATGTCTGATGTTGCTGGGCAGTATGCCTTGAACAGGTCTACAGTAGGCCACTGTTCAATCTTATCAAGAAAGATACAGTATAATCAAAAACACTCAAGCAGCTAAAGGAGTAACAAAAATCACATCTGAGAAATAAAGAACATCGAAGAGCTCATAAAGAAATCTGAAACTGATTTGATGATAGAAGAATGCCAAGAACTCTTGAATGAAGAACATGAAGAAATTTGGCAAGATATGTTTTCTTCTGAAAAAGAGGATTAATGCAGACATCTGCTATTAAAGATCTTTTGAAGAAGTGGGAGGATGTGAGATCAATGGTCTTAGAATGGCATCCAAACCAGATTGAGGTTAATAGGCTTAGGGATCTCTACAACGACAATGCTATTAATAACTTCTGAAAATTCCTGAAGAAGAGAGAAATGCAATCGACATTGGACAGATTTTTATAAACCAAATAAAAGACAAAAAAACAAACTATAGACAGCCAGACCTTCCTTTTTAAGCTACTCAGCTGCCCAGTTAAAAAGTTCCTTAAAAACACAGAAATATAGTTTGTTCTGGAACATTGAAGAAAATAAAATGGTGATCATCTGAGAATTTTTAGAATGACTGTCTTTTATTTGGTTTAAAAATTTTTTTTCATCTGACGGGAATTCAAACAAATTGGACAGATTTTTTTAACACACCACAAACAGAAAAAATATGACTGATAAAATTGCAAGACTGTGTATATATGTACTTATGAATAAACATAGTAAGAAAGTATATAAATTTTTAAAATAACCAAACAATTCGGATAGCAAACACAGTCTTGGAATGGATTATGTTCGTTAACTGATCACCCACTGTATTATATGCTTAATTGCAGCATACTAAGAGATAAAGTTATTGAATTATAAGATTAAGGAAGTGCAATAGTTTTCATATAATTTCAAACAAAAAAAAAGAAAACACCAAAATTTCTGCATCAAGCTAGACAAGCAATTCAAAATATTTAAAACCTAAAACTGTTTGTGCAAATCAGAATTGTCCACATTATCATAAATGATATCAAGTATCAAGTATATAAAATTAGACAAAAAACTAGCACAAGTAAACTGGAACTATATACTAAACACAAAAATTCACACCTAAATGCCAATTCCAGCAGTAATTGAACAAAAATTTTAATGTTCAAACGTTTTTGGCTGTCTTTTAGAAGCCCTCCTCAGGAATGTATGAAACACATAAAAAAAAAAAAAAAAAAAACAGTTCTATCATTTGAAAACTTCTAACCATCGAATACAGCTGTGTTCCAAATTTTTAAATATTTAAATGATGTACTGTACGATATAAAAATTGTTACATTTACAACATAAAAATTAATTATTTTTAAATAAAGCTATAAATAAATTATTATTATAGCGTTGTAAAAATGAGTGCGATGTAAACGATGTGGAAATTGTTTTCTTTTACAAAGCAGAAAGATGAAAAAATAATTACACATACAATTATTGTTGTGCTTTGTGGCAATGTAAATAATACTTCCACAATTGTGGAATCGGAATATAATCGGAGTTAATGCAGTTTCCCTTCATGGTTTCTATATAAATCTCAAGAGCCTCCATGAGCGTAAGTCGTGTCGGTCAAAGGCCCTATGCAAAAGAGTAGCTTCATCCCAACATGGGGAAACCCCGGATTTGGTAGCATACTGGGCTAGAGCAGTACTATACTTCCACTTGGACACATCATATTTGTGGTCCCATACTCTAGCCTCAAGGAATCTGTATGTAAATCCGATGTATGTTATCCAATGATTGAAACGTTCGTCATGCAAAGGAATGCTGTACACCCCTTTCAATCGTCAGATAGCATACTTTGGATCTACATACAGATCCCTTGAGGATAGAGTACCAGACCACAAATACAATGTGTCCAAGCAGAAGTATAGTACTGCTCTAGCCCAGTATGCTACCAAATCAGGGGTTTCCCCATGTTGGGATGAAGCTACTCTTTTGCATAGGGCCTTTGACTGACACGACTTACGCTCATGGAGGCTCTTGAGATTTATATAGAAACCATGAAGGGAAACTGCATTAACTCCGATTATATTCCGATTCCACAATTGTGGAAGTATTATTTACATTGCCACAAAGCACAATAATAATTGTATGTGTAATTATTTTTTCATCTTTCTGCTTTGTAAAAGAAAACAATTTCCATGTCGTTTACATCGCACTAATTTTTATAACGCTGTAATAATAATTTATTTATAGCTTTATTTAAAAATAATTAATTTTTATGTTGTAAACTTCGTTTAAATTTTTAAATATTTAAACATCATTTAAATATTTAAAAATTTGAAACACAGTTGTATTTGACGATTAGAAGTTTTTGAATGATAGAACACTTTTTTTTTTTTGTGTTTCATACATTCCTGAGGAGAGCCTCTAAAAGACGGCCAAAAACGTTCGAACATTAAAATTTTTGTTCAATTACTGCTGGAATTAGCATTTAGGTGTGAATTTTTGTATATTAAATTAATTCAATAATTAAAAGCCTATTTCTAAAAAAGAAAAATTTTTTAATTTCTATTTCAGTTGCATCATAATGTACCTCTATAATTTTTTAAAATTATAGAGGTACATCTCTCTCTAAAGAGGAAAAATCTCTATCTATCTACATAACAGATTTTGACTATTCACTTACTGTCCTGAATTAAGTTTAGTATGTAAATAATTGAGAAATACAATAAAAATTGACACTAAAGAACCAACTTTTTTTTTTAGTAAATAATTTCCAGCATCTTAAAATATATCAAGAAAGTAAAGAAGATAATATTAAAAGAACTGTGACGTTTAGTTAACAAGGATAAAAAAGCAGAAACATTTTGAAAAATGTATATTAATGTTATATTTGAATTTCTATATATAACAGTAGATAATACTTTAATAAAGACTAGCAGGTAGGCCCAGCGTTGCTCGGGCAAAAGTAACAATAGCAAAGATTAAGATTATTATGTTATAGTCAACCTTACCCGTTTTCACAGAAGCAAGAGTTGGGTCCCCCGTTTCCAGACTAATTAGAAAATTTTCAGATGGGTCTAAAAATATCTTCAATTTCCCGCAAAAACGAAAAAAAAACTGCATCTGTGTCTTGCATGTCACTTTCTCTTAACAATTCCATTGTTATGTAACACTTCTATTGTTGATGGAAGTGTTAAGCCTTAATCCTGTCCCTCTTCCCCGGGGGAGGAATTTCAAAAAATCCCTTCTTTTTGTGTGTTTTCATGAAGTGCCCTAACTGTGTACCAAATTTCAACTTTCAACTCCTAACCGTTTGGGCTCTGCACTTATTATTATTATCATCATCATTATTATCATTATCAATTCATCTCGATTATATATATGGATAATACAGAAGATATGCCACATTATTATTCATATTATAAAGTAAACATAACTTTTGCTAATGTTGCAAAGTTAAACATTAAAAATATCTTTCGTAATTTATTTTTTTCAACAAATGTGATAAATTAAAAAATAAATGAAATAAATCTTTTAGTATGTAATTTTATTACATTTAAGGTATATTTAAAAAAATGTTCTAATCATTTTTTAAATTTCTGATTAAAACATTTTACTAATAACTCATGTAGTAATCATAAATATTACTTTTCTTAATCAGTCTTGCATTAATTTTGAATGATATAAATTAAAATCATTAAACTTACTAAATGTTGAAGAGCTTTCACATGAAGTGGGTTAATAGCAACTGCATTTTGAAAACATGTTTTAGCTTCATGATATTCTCTTTTATATTTATGGATCATGCCTTTCTGTTAAAATATAAAAAAAAACAGCTTTAAAATAAATCTGATTATATTTTTTTATATAAAAACTTTGCCTCTAGATGATAATCATGCACAGGTTATAAACTCATACCATCATCTTAAGCCAATAAAATTCATATCACATTGTTTTCTGAAAACTTTTAAAATATATTTTTTTTAATATTTTACAGAGATTACATTAACTATGAATCTGTTTATCTAAGATTTTTTCTCATTCTTGATATTTGCATGGTATTATATCTAGAAAACACTTGTAGAAAAACTGGAAATAAATATACCAATCATACTACACTTTACATTAACTAGTTTAATCACAACAAACATTTTTGACCCAGTTCAGAGGTCTGCCTCAGGTTAAAAATGTATTAAAATACAAATTTAAAGAAAAGAACCAAGTTCTAATGGTAGAACTATAATGATGTAAAATCTGAAAAAGGTTTTTCAAATTTTGTAAATTTAAAAATAGCAGTTATAGTTCTACAATTAGAATTCTGTTCTTTTCTTTAATTTTGTATTTTGATAAATTTTTAACCCGAGGCAGACCTCTGAATAGGGTCAAAAACATTTGCACATTTTCCAGCACTAGTTTAATGAAAACAAAGTGCAGTGTGATTAGTATTATATTTAAGATATTATCATCAATTATAATAACAGACTTACCATAACCATTAATTGATGACACAGTGGAAATATGCTGGAAGCTTCATGAATGCACGCTTCTGCTTCTGATACCTGACCCAAATGTAAATAAAGCTCAGCTATCAGCAGCCAGATGTGTAACTGTAGTAACCAAACTGTTTGTGGACCAGGTTTGGGTTGAAAACCACCAACTGAAGATGCAACTTCTGACAGAGCTTGTTCAATTCTAGTAGCTACTATCACAGAATTTCCTAATTAAAAATAAACAAAACTACAATAAAACTATTTAATATGTAAAAATTTTCTAATTAAACAAGAAATAAATAAAACATTTCTTTCTATTACAGTAACATATTAAATTACCCGAATCACCATCAGACAGTTCTGAAGAATGCAACTGGAATACACTTTTATTCTCACTTGTGACTCTTTGCAAACCACCATCATTCATATCACTAAAAAGTAATAATCAATGCTTTTATTTATAAGTAATTTAAAATTTTATTGATATTGAACTTTTGATGATTTATCTCTAAAACTAACTGTTTACAAAACAATTTCAACTTGGTATATTACCAGACTCTTTTTCAAATTTGCTATCTTTTATAATTTAAATACCAAATTAATTATTGAAGACATAACTAAAGAATGGAAAAAATGTAAAAGATACAACTGTTTCATCCATATTTACAACTTTGAAATAATTATCATTAATCAAATTAAATACAGGTATCCCCAGTACAACATAGTTTGAAAATTAGGGATATCTCCCTGTACAACACAGTTTCTGGTTTTGCTCTAACACAATTTCAGAATTTGGAAAAAATCCTCCGTACACAAGTAAGTAAGTATTATAAAACCTTCCACTCTTTTTCTAGAAATTTCTTTAATCGAACTAACGTTTTCGGCTATATTTAATGGCCTTCCTCAGGTTCTACAATATTGGAAGGTTCCAATATGGTAGAATCTAATATCCTCCGTACAAAATTTCACAACTTTTAAGTGCAAAACGCCTTCATTTGATACTTTTTTTATTCAAGTAAGCACTCATCCTATCTCAAATTTGTATACAGGTAACCCCCATATAACAAAGGAGTTATGTTCCAGAAAATTGCCATGTTATGCGAATCTGTGTTATACGAAACAAAGAACTAGTGCAAAAAGGGGGGTTAGGTTCCAAAAATTAAAAAACATGTTGTTAAATCTTTATTTAAATCAGATTTATTATTCTTTTTTTCATAGGTAAAATACTTATTTATTATTTAAGTAAATATTTTACCAGAGGATTATTCATTTAATATGATCTCAGCATGAGCAGTATCAACTGGTAACGGTTTGTGAGTGCATTCGTTAATAGTGGTTGCTCTGCAACGGGAGTGCGCTGCTGTTTGTAGGCATTTAGAAACGACAGTGAAAGAAAGAAAGATGGCAGCGTCCGCACTATCGATAGTATCGTGATGGAGGAATCTATAATTTTAAAATATGAGCTTTTAGAGGCAAAAGAAGGGTCCCAATTGTAAAATTTAACCATTAAATGGATTATTTGTTGAAAGAGCATTCAAAGTAGCGACGAAAAAAATTAGAATGCTTGCGTCGAGTTACGCGGAGGTATAAAAGAACGCACCCTTTATTACATTTTATGTTGTATGAGGGTTTTACCCAATTCCCGAACCGTGTTAGAGTGAACCCATGCTATAAAAGCACTGTGTTATACGGGGAATGTTCCCAATTCTTGAAAAGTGTTAGAGAGAATCCTTGCTATAGAAGTCCTGTGTTATATGGGGGTTACCTGTATAGTTTTTAGAATATTAAAATTTTCAATATGTTTTGTGTTTTTCATCAGGTTTAATGAAAACTGATAGTGCAATTTTTTTATTCCTTGTTCTAACTTTCCTATCAAACAGGTATTGTTGTCTTTGCTTTCAGACTTTAGACTTTAAGACAGTCACTGTGTTTTCTTTTTATAGATTAATGTTCATATTTAGTAAAGTTTATTTAAACATTTTTAGGTAAGTGTTATTAACCTTTCTTTAACCGTAGGAAAATATCATATGTAAAAATGATGAACAAAATATGGCGTTATCTCAGTACTCAACTGTTCCCAACTCAAAGAATTTGATATTTGAATGCAAATTCTAGAAAAAATTGCTTGGTCTTCAATCAAGCAAATGTGACCCAATAAAACAAATTTTTGATTAGTAACATATTTTTATTTTGTCACACATAAAAAATTTTTATGGTAAAAAAAAATGAAGATACTGTAGATATTTCTGATCAAGATCAAAAAAACTCAGATGACAATACTTTGTAAAAAGAAAACCCCTCATTTAAAATTAATATTAATGCACAATACAGTACTTTTAATTGTGATGTTTGGTTGATTATTGATTGCTTTAATAAACATATTTCTCTTAGTAACAAAAAAGAATAGTATACTTTTGTTAACTTTTGGAACTTAACCCCATGTTTTGTATTAGTCCATTGTTTTGTATAGCACAGATTCCATAAACAACAAAAAATTACAGATATGAGAAAAGGAATATTATAAACAACATAAAGTATAGAATACCTATTGTAAAATTATACTAAAAACACATAAGAAAGAAGAAGCTTATAGACCATTAGTGGATTAGTGGATATAATTTAGAGCATTTTTTAAAAAGTAAATTAAATATTTATTCTAATTCTATGTGTAGTATAAAGAATGCAGACCAAGTAGTAAATAAATTAAGCAATTTTAAAAAGAGACAAAATCATAAATCATTGAGTCTAGATGTAAAAAGTATGTATCCTTCTATTAATTCGAAAATGATAGAAATTAGCTTATTTAACCTACAAGTAGAAGATTGGATAATTAGGCTTATAAAGTTCACTTATACTAATAATTATTTTGAGATTGATAAACAAAAAGATGGAATCAGTATGGGTTCAAAGATAGAACTGAAATTGGCAGAATTAGCAATGATAGAAGCAGATAATTTCATAATGAATATCAATGGAGTCAAATTGTGTTTTAGGTATGTTGATGACTACCTCATAATATTTAAGAGCTGAAAACTACAGAAGAGAACATTGTTAACCAAGCTAACCTTTGGAATACCAATATACAGTATGATTATGAAAAAGAAAATAATAGTACAGTAAGTTGAACTATTTCAATTTAACTACAGGTAACCCCCGTATAACACGGTAGTTACGTTCCAAAAAATTGTTGTGTTATGCGAATCCGTGTTATACGAAACAAAGAACTAATACGAAAAGGAGGGTTAGGTTCCAAAAATTAAAAAAACATGCTAGTATATTTTCATAATTAAGATAAATATCTTCATTAAAATTTTTTTAAGTGATACATATTAATATAAATTAAACGATGTTTTCTTCGTCATCACTAAAAACACTATTAATTAACCGAGAGCGTTTTCTTTTTGGCAAGTTATCCTTATCCTCTGAGCATTTTTCTGCATTATCTTCAGATCCATGCTTTACCTTTTGCAAAATGTATGTAATTTTAGATTGCTTGCTTCTAGTTAAAAGGTCTTTATAAATTTCCTTATATGGTGCTAAGCACTTATGAAGAATAAAGCAAGTATGGAATAAGGGAAAAACATTCGGCAACATCAGAAGCAGAAGCGTCGCGATCTGGCAATATTGAAACAAGTTTTGAGAAGGACCACGTGTATCGACAGAAGGCAAGAAGAAAAAATTTACATACTTAAGTACTAATAGTTCACGAAAATAATAATTTTCGTGAACTATTAGTACTTAAGTATGTAAAAATTTATTACATTTCCTGTTGTATGAGGGTTTTACCCAATTCTTGAACTGTGTCAGAGTAAATCCATGCTATAAAAGTACTGTGTTATACGGGGGATGGTACCAATTCTCGAACTGTGTTAGAGTGAATCCGTGCTAAAGAAGTGCCGTGTTATACGGGGGTTACCTGTATTATAAACCAGAAAACAAATTTATTTTTTGAACTTATGAAAAGTTATGTAATGTACAAAAAACAATTATATACCTTATGAAACCAATGACCAGAGTGCAAAGAAAAACAAAATGAAAATTCACCATGAACGTTTTCAAACTCTACGGAGTTTAAAAACGTTCATGGTGAATTTTCAAAAACAATTAATTTTAAGTCTTATTATCCATAATCAGTAAAGAAGAATGCATATAAAATGGAATTACAAAAGATCTATACAAGAATTACATATGAAAAAGATACAAATGAAGAAATCAATAAAATGAGAAATAAATATATGATAATTAATTTGAAGACACAGTCTGTCCAAAAACAGGAACCACCATTTATTTACTTCTAGTGTTCCAGAATATAAACATTTGGAGACTTGACGTTTCTTTTTAAACTGCTTGGCTGTCAAATTTGAAAAAACCCTTAAAAAACATGATTGCCATCCGGTGAATTTCTACAATTGAAACTTTTGCAAAGATTTCTCACCAGGGGAAGCTAAAAATATACATTTACCAGTGCTTCCTTACCAGTAGATATAAAGCTCAAACATCTCCAAGTGGTAAGGATGAAAAAGAAAATGATGATGTCTGTAAGACCCACCAGTTCCAATTTTTTAAAATTTGTAATTTTAATTGGATATTTTTCTGTGTTTTTAAATTTGATTGCCAAGGAGCCTAAAAAGAAAGGTCGGGTTGTCAAATGTTTGTATTCTGGAACACTAGAAGTAAATAAATGGTGGTTCCTGTTTTTGCACATACAGTGTCTTCAAATTAATTTTCATAAGACTGCCATTTGATGAAATTCAATTATACAAAATGAATTTATATTAAACAATTACCCATATAATTCATTGAAAAAATGGAAGACAGAATATTTTAACTATCAATATAATGTTAAAAACCTAAAAGAAAATGCAAGATATTTTGCATTCCATATATTAAAAACATTTACAAAAAAATGTGCTATTAATTTAAAGAAAAACAAATAATTTTAACAACAACCATGAAAAATAAATTAAAATAATAAATATAAATAAGAAAGAAAAAATTTATATCTTACAGGAAATAGGAGTTATTTATAAATTAAAATGTACATGTCAAGAATAAAAAATATATATAGGAGACACAGGAAAAAACTGGAAAAAGAATTAAAGAGCATTTAACAGGAATTAGATTGAAGTATGTAAATTCACCATGGTTGAAACCTGTAAATGAGGAGAATTGTAATATATAGATACTTCAGAAATTAAAATAGTTGATAAAGAAAAAATATTCATAAAAGAGAATTTAAAAAACATTTAATAATCATTAATACTAAAAATAAATTGAATGTAAACAGTAGTATGCAAATTTTCACTGGTTGGTATATTATTATAAAAATGACCACCAGCATGTGATTAAATTGAATCACAGTATTCTTGTGTACTAGAGAGTTCATTGTGTGTTTATTATTATTGTTTATTTCTATCACTGAAGAGGAACTGTTAATTGATACAATTTGAAATGTGTATGGTGTAAGTACATCTGTTCGATAATAAAAAAGAACTGTTGAAAAGATCAGAGTAATTTTTTTTATATTCATTATTTTAAAGTAGCTTTTCCTTTTAAAAGTTTTTTGAGATGTTAAATTATGTTTATTGTTGTATTTATTTTGAAAGAAGTTCTTATTATATGCTTTGTAAAACAGTATTATATGAATGTAATAGTTTATTCATAATTTCATTTGTGGGAAATATTTTTTTCATATCAGTAAGTGCTCTTTTCTAAAACAGCACCTACTGATACTGATATTTATTATATCAATCAATCAAAGAATTTATAAAAAGATGAAAGATGATCCAATACTGACAAATTATGAAGTTATTTATTATACTAAAAATTAATGTAAGATGTATGTACTGAACCCTAAACAAAATAATGAATTATATAATTTAATAGGATAAGTAAATTATCAAGTGAGCTAAAAGTTCAATATACCTCAATTATAAAAAATGTTGACAATGAATTATTTATAATTATAATCCAACTTTTTATTTAAAAAGTATATAAAAAAATAAACATAACCAATTAAAAAATAGATTAAATAATATACTATAAAATAAGTATTTCAGGATACATCACAAGCTTTATAAATTATTAACATATTTTGTGAAGAGCATCTACTTAGAAAATCTAATATTGAGTTGAAAATGTTGAGACTTATAATTTTTAGCAATTAATATTCAAAAACTATATTTGAAATTACTTAAAATATTTAATTTGAAAATGATCAATTCAATTACAGTGAAATTCTGTTAATCCGGCCTTGTCAGGACTGACGCAGTGCCGGTTTATTGAATATGCTGCATTATCAAATGGTGGAAAATTTTCTGAGTTTTTGATCTCCTGAATAAAATTTCTGATATCTTTGTGTGTAAAACTGTATAAATCTGCCTGTGCATCTCACACATTTAGAGCAAGTTGAAATTTATAAGGTATGCTGGAAAATTAGCGCTGACGAATGTAGATTACGCCAAGATATCTTGGCGTAATCTACATTCGTCAGCGCTAATTTTCAGTAGATAAAAGGAGCCAGAAACCCAAATGGACAAGGATGAACTAGCAAGACGTCATAAGATTTACCAATTTTAAAGAAGAATTTTCTTAATATTTATTGGTTTTTTTGTGTTTTTAAGGAACTTTTTTAAATATAGGCAGTTGTGTAGCCTGAAAAGGAAGATCCAGCTGTCTGTACTTTGTTCTAGAACAGTATGTAATAATGGTAATCGTCTGAAATATATATTTTTAGAGCAACTTTGTCTTTAATTTATGAAAAAATAATTCATTCATCCGATGGAAAAAAATAATTCATTCATATCAGTAAGTGCTATTTTCTTCCACAAAAGAATGCATTAATAAAAATATAAAGATAGTTATAGATAAAAAGATAGGGAAATGGTATTTTCTATTTTTATTTAATACAGTATGTTTCATGTTTATTGTAGTAATGAGTAAAAATTCATTATGGGATTACTTCAATCGCACAAGAGAAAGCAATGATGGAGTGTGCAAACTGTGCTTTAAAACAATCAAAGCAGTTGGAGGAAGTACTAGCGGACTGNAAAAAAAAATAAATAAAAGTACATTTTTCAAGAAAGAAATTGATGAATCTTTGCCTGGAAAAAACATCAGGATGAGATTATTAAAGATATACTGAAAGATTCTCCTTAAACTTTTCGCTCTGATATATCTTGATGAATGGACATCACTTAACCACTCAGCAGTGAGCAATGACTATAGTAATCAAGGGCGATGCAAGGGTGTGGCAGTGGTGAGGGACGACTATAATCATCAAATTCTTTTGAGGGATATCGCCAAAAACTAGCCTAAAACTACCACAAAAAAAAATTCACATGAAAAATGAATTATGTAACAATAAAAAAGGATTTTTCTTTACTAGACATAACTGTTTACAAAATCTTTTTTTGAAACAGTAATGAGAAATAACGTGTGAAAAAATACTCTAAAAATTTTGCTATTACAAGAATGTTGTTTGTCTAAACTGATAAAAAACTTGAAAATAAATTGTTGTTCAATGATTCTGTCAGTAATTCAGTTTTGTTTTTGTCGTAAATCATTTGTTAAAACAAATTTACTAATAAATTACCAATAAACTGGTAATTCCTAATATAATTATTGAATTACCAGTAACATAATACCCGGTAAATTTGCAATCACTAGTCATGTTGGTCATCTATCTAACTTCTTTCAGGGAAAATTTTTGAATTGAAATAATCAGTGATTTCCAGTGCAAAGCAGAAGTTCCTATATAGTTAATCAAGACCTCCTGCCCCTAAGCTTTCCATATCTAGTCCCAACTTTCATCTATCTAACTCTGTTCTTAAGATTAAAGAACAACAGACAAGCAAACAAACGAACGACAGTGGAAATTTATAGATCTACAATTTTTACTTTCCCAGTTGTTATATATAACAGAGGGAAAGTATGGCAATCAGTCAAAATGACCTCCCCAAAATTTTTACATTTTTTGGACTTGGACACCTTGAAACATCAAGAAATGAAAAAAAAATTTGGGAATAATTTCTGTATGTACGTATGTGTGGGAGAAAGCACGATTGTGTTCACCCTGTTTAAGGCTTAATAACTCCTGTGTTTTTTGTTGAAAATGTCTGAAATTTTGCAGGGAGGTTTGTTTATTAGGGGATCGATGCTATTAAATTTTGCCAATTAAAGGTCAAGGGATTAGGGTGATAATGGGGGTCATGTGTATCTCCAGTAGGGTCAGTCTTAATGATGATTTTACTGATTATTAGTATTTACAATATTTTATAAAACTCATCCTTACTCTCAAAATTAAGCTTTTTACCATTTTATAATAGTTAAAATATAAAAAGTTCTTTTAATAAAATATAACAACAGATGGTGCCAAAATTTTAAATGTTGCCTTTTCTGGCAACATTTAAAATTTTGGCACCTTGTAAAAGTTGAGTAACTTGTTGCTGGTTTATTTTTTCAAATTGCAGCCCAATAATGAAATTAAAATGATATGCAAAATGAACTTCAGATTCTTCCTTTTCATTGGCAATAAATACAACACTAATACCTAATACAATTAAATTACTTGTACTACCAAATATTGCAAATTCAAACGTTAAAAATTTGAAATTTTTACCTTTTAAGTTTCTTTTCATATAAAGTTTTCCACTGTTGAAGCATTTGTTTACTGGTAAGAAGAGCAACTTCCCCACCAACACAATGCAGTTCTAAATGGGCTTTTGTGTACATAAGACTAAAAATAAATTAATTAAATAAGTAAAAGTATTGTATTAAATATAATTAAGTAATAAGTATAAAGAAGTTTATTAATTAAAAATTGAATTATGACAATTTACAAAAAATTATAAAATTTTTCGAGTCTATCTTTCATCCTTTTAACACACCACAGAAGTAACAGTATATTGGCTTGGATAAACTTCCACAGAAACACGTGATAAATTATAAAGAAAACACACAAAGTTAAAAATGATCGAAATGCCAACCTTTTATTTGAGGATTCGGCATCCTTTAACATTAAAACAATGGTTACAATTTCTGACCATAACTACCATGTTCTTTAGCACAATATTATAACTGGTTCAGATCCTCTGTTATCATGTACGCTGTTATGTAAGTTTAATAATATTTACAATGCTGGACTGCAATTTTTAATCATGTTTTAATTAAAAAATATCATTGACTTGTTTAGATCAAAAATTTGTATATACAGTAGATCCCCCTATAAAACTGTTTCCTATAGTTATGATTCCTATAAAAATTGTGGCAGTATCCGTAAACAACGGTAAAAATAACTCCTATAATACGTAAAACGTCATCGGGCAGCCAAACTACTTTCCCGCCGTCCGTAGCGCCACGCTACGGACGTTTAGGCGGATAAATTGAGTTTAGTATCGTCTGTTCATATAATTATATATAAATTAGGTACTGTACATATAATTATATATTAATTATATATAAATTAGGTACTGTATATATAATTATATATTAACTTAATTTATTGTAACTTTATTATAATTAAATATATATTTTTCGCCGTCTAGCGTCACGCTACGGCGAGTTAGGCGACCTATCGTCTGTCCAGTACTGTAATTTTATACATTTCTTGTGAAAGAAACATTTCTTATTTAACGGCCATAAAAATTATTTATATTAAGGATGTCTCCAAAGGTCAACGAAGTTTTCGCAGAAAAATAATATCAGAAATCGCGGCCGCAGTTTGATGCGCTGTTCCGCGACGAAACCAAGCTTTAGCAACGGGCGTAGTCGAACGGTACACACTCGGTAAGCAATCCTACAATTTTTTGTTTATAACGTAGTTTATACGGATTATTTTCAAAAAAATATACGTATTTTGGAAATGTTGAGTCGAATTAGTCTAGAATCGATTAATTTTATGAAAGAAAACCTTTCAAACAGCCGTAGTCCGTAAACTATGATTCCTACAAAATTGATTCATAAAGAACAGAACGTATCTACCGTCTTATAGGGGGATCTACTGTAGTTAACCAGGATCTCCAGCATCTATTATTTCCATATCTATTTTCAATTTTAGCAGTCTTGTCCCTGTATGTCACACTTTTCCTAATAGCAATTGAGTCATGCTGGTCATCTAAATCCATTCTTGAGAAAATTTTGAATTGAAATTACATGACTTCTGGTCCAGACCGAAAGTTTTTATGTCGTTAATTGGGGCCTCTGGTTCTTAAGCTTTCTATATCCAGTCTTGATTTTCATCTATCTAACTCTGTTCTCAAGATTAATAAAGGACAGACAGATGGACAACAGTGGGAATGTATATGTTCTGAAATTTGAAAATTGCAGCCCAATTAATAAATAATATACAAAGTTAGCATATTTGAAAATATCAATTATATGAGATGATCAAACAAAAAAGGGGACTCATGAACAGTTTGATGATATTGCAAGTGAAGTTGCCTCACTGACTCACCTGTTAGCTCATTATTATTATTTAAATTGTGTTGCAATTTGAAATGCCTCATGCACTATAGAACAGAGAATTTTCATAATGGAAAGTTACATTTAGTTACCAAACAATAAAGTTTTAAATTTTTCTAATAATTTTTTAATGTGTTTACTGTCACAACTAGTTGTATAGGTAGACACTGGACATTTCTGACATCAATCTCTATTCCAGAATATCTTGTTTCCCAAACATGTCTCAGACAACAAGATATTTCAGAATACAGATTGATGTCAGAAATGCCCATTGCCTGTCTATACATCTAGTTGTGACAGTAAAAACAGAAAAAAGAAGACACAGTTTCAGAATATATTACAATATAGAACAGAGAATTTTCATAATGGAAAGTTGCATAAATAAGAAAAGTCACTGATAATTAAGACAGTTATGAAAAAAAACTCAAATTATCTGTGCCTACAAATGTTTATGATTACAAAGTTTTAATAAATTGCAGTCCATAGTCTATATGTAACAAAAAATTATTTGAGTTCAAATTCTATGAAATTACTGTGTTTTCACAAAATGATCAGCATGCTGATCTATCCAGGGAGACCAGGAAATCAGATATTTCCATGTGGTAAAAGCCTTGTGGCATGCTGGTTTAAGTGAGGTCTTGCATCCCTCTCTAGAGGGTGCATTAAAAAAAAAGGAACAAGTTCCATCACATAAAAACGAAAAAGTTTTTATTCTAAAACTATGAAACTGTTGGCATTACATCAAAAACTATGATTATACACATTTAATTTCTTTATTTTGTCTTCATTCTAATGAAGAAAAACACTTGTGGATTCCAAAAGTGCTTTTGTTGTGTTTTATTGTTATTTGATTCAAAAACAAAAATTAAACATGTTAAATTTAAAAACTCGCTGTAAATTATTTTGGCTATCACATAAAGTGGATGTTAATTGGTGTAATTTGAGAGGAAGGTGTTATTTTTAAGGTCAGGGTAGATGGCCAGTGTAGACTACACTGACTAATAGTCAAATTACAATGTTGTTCTTTTATTGTACTTGGAACATTTAATTAACAGCTAGTTTTGTTATATNCTTTAAACCATTCTCCTCCTGAGATGTCTATGAGAATGTCCCGAGAAATCCAACACCAGCTGTTCTCAAGGTCATCCAGCTGTAAACACAATGACTCATCTGTGTCAAATTTCGCAGAAAGGGGAGACAATGGAAAATAAAGTTTGAAGCTTTTTCTTCAAAATTAACACATTTCTTTCGTTTTTTCAGTTTTAAGTATTTTTTATGTTTAATTACATTAACATTAAAAATTGGTGGGTACCAAGGGAGTTAAATGAGCAGAAGAGTGTGTCATGCAATACTAGTTTGAAGATAAGATAAGAGTCCTACTATTTCAATATGACAAAGGAAATGGAAAAAAACCAATATGTGAAGATTTGGATATAAAATAATTGGTAAAATTTTGTTAAAAAGTCATAATATAAACAAGTGATAAAATCTTGACTTACTGGCAAAATAAAAAGAGAGAACATCATCATTACCCAAGTTAAAAAATTCAAAGATAACTGGGTCTCACCAGATATTAAGATGTCACCTACCTTCAGATGACGAACCAATGGGTTTTGATCACTGGAATCTAATCAACACATCAAAAATAAGGTTTGATAAAAAAAAAAAAAGGTCACTTCATATTAAGTGCCTTGAAGTAAAGTCACTTTGGGAAACACTACATTTCACATCAAACTTCTCAAAGTAAATATATTTCTGGGATCCTTTCTGACTAGTGTGCAAATGTAAGGACAAACATACAAACATTAAGAACTGTTGGATAAGATCTAGAGAAATGAACTAGCAACAAGTAAACTTTATTAATGCATTTTATCCTACAGGACATACATTCTCTCTCTAACTTGCATAAACACAAGTAAAAATTCTGTTATGTGAAATTTTAATATAAAAAATTTTCACTCATATTGTATTATTTTGTAAGTTATATAGTGTAAATAAGTCATTCTATATCTGGACCCACATAACATCTTTCATTTACTACACCTGTTAAATAGCCATCTAAAATCTACAGAAACAAAACAAACTATTCCATTGGGATGAAAATCTATTACCCCATTAATATAAAATATTTCCCATCTGAAATTGAAAATATGGTTTATTTTAATACAGTGTTACCTCGTACTTTGAATAATTCTAACTTCAAATGCCAAATTCAACAAAAAATTTGCTTTGAAATTTGAACTGTGCATGAAATAAAAAATGCACTCAAAGTGTAAAATAAGCTTCTAAACAATACATAAAATCTCGAATTAGTAAGCATATGTTAAAAGTCACAACTGTTTAAGATGCGGATGTCAACAATATGTGACCAGTAAATACAATTTACATTTTAATATACATTATTAACATATTTTATTTATTGTTTTTGTGTTTTAATTTATTTTAGGGCACTTCATTGTGTTTTTTTTTTATCTTAAATACTGAGTATTTGCTGTTTTAAGTTTATTGAAATGGGTATTGTTTTGGGGTCTGAGGATGGATTAATTTGCTTTCCATTATTTCTAATGGAAAAAATTGCTTTACACTTTAAATGAATTAATTTAAACAGCCTCTTGGAATGAATTAAATCTGAAATACAAGGCACTAATGCATTTGTGAAAAAATTTTATTTTATTCAACACATCCTAAAATGAAGAAAATGCTAACTTTTTAATTATCTAACTATAACAAATATTTAAAATTTTTTAAAATATTTATTATAGTTAGATAAAATAAATTGCTCATTTTATCAAAGCATGCAATTTACATAGTTTTTCATCCACATTGTTATATAAAACCAACCATTTCCACATGTATGTGTTTACCAGTAATGTTTGGATATACTGTATTTTCATCATCATTCAAATCTTCACATTCTTCATTTACCAAGTCTTTAGTCATAAACTGCTACTTGTCCTTTGTCATCTTATAAGCAAGCATTATTTCTATAGCATTATTCAAGCTAATCATTTCTATTGTTATAAAAGTAGAGAATAACAAAATATGCTAAACTAGAAACCATTTTTAAAAATATGAATTTTTTTAGCATTGTGAAATATGAACTCATATCATTCATTAATTTTCAATAATAAAATAGTAGTAGAATCTTGTTTAGAATATTATGTTCAAAATATAATATTTCCATTACTCTTTTTAAAATTTTTTGATAATTAAATGATTTATACTTGTAAATTACTTGTTCAGTTTTAAAAAACTGAAAACTAATCAAATATTTTTAAACTTTAAAGATATGAAAAGCATGATACAGTACAGAAAATATTTATTACAGTAAAATAATATGTATATTTTAAAATGTAATGGTAATTTTCTGTTAAGCTATTCTTCAACATTCTGTTAACAAATATTATATTATATTATAAATTATACATTGTGAAAATAAACTACAAAATGTTTAAAATGATAGATAAACTGCAAAGTAATGCCTTAATGTTTTGTTCAGACTGTATTCAAAGAATATTTTTTAAAGAAAACATTTCAAAATTAACATTTTGAAGAAAATAAACTATATCTAATAACTATTAATATCTTTATGTTTTCATATATAACATGTTTTAAATGATTTTTCATAAGCAACCGTTTTCAATTCAAGAAGAAATGCATGTATTAAATTTATTTCTAAATTCAAAATCATTATTTATATATTATATTTTTGTGAATTTGAAATTAAAAATATCTATAATATAATCTGTCTTATATCAATCATTATTCCAAATGATTCATTTTTCATTAATTTATAAATTATTGCCACAAAAAAATATAATAAAAAAAACAAACTTATAAACTTACTTAAAATTATCAGGATATTCTTCGAGTGCTGCCTCAACCAACTGTAATGCTTCCCAATATTGTTTCTGTGCAGACAATAATAAAACTAACAGATGTAGAGAATGGACATGCTCTCCACGCAAATAAAGTGCAGATTTTGCATGTAATATAGCTTCAGGTAACTTTAAAATAAAATATATATTTTTATATTCATAGTCTAATAAATTAAATTTTTTATGTTAATAAATTATTTATTAATATACTTATTTAAGTAAATAAGCTAATTATTCATTTAATTTTAAGAAGATTTTTTTATTATAATTATCAATTATATTGCAGATTAATATACAGCTAATAAAACCTTCATCAAAATAGTGTTTTTCAAATAAATAAAAACTGTTAAAATTTACTCATTTTAAACTTTCTATTTAGAATTCTTCTAAATTGCAAAGGAGTTTTATGTTGATTTAAAAAATTCTGATTCAATCTAAGATAAATCAAGCTTTCTAATTTCATTTCTATGAATTAAATTTTATTTTAAACAATGTGGAGTAGTTATATCATCTGCAGTTATTTATTTACACCACAAGTTACATAACCATCCAAAATGTCACATGCTCACTTGATGATAATTTCTTATCTTTATTTCTTATACTGATTTAATTTTCTTTATTTTTAAAGGTGTACTTACTTGTCTGGCATGAGCATAATGAAGAGCAAGATAAAATTCAGGCAAATGGTCATTAGGATCAGCTGCTTGTGCTCTAAAATTAATAAAATAAAGAAAATAATCAAATGATATTTTAAATTATCAACTATATAAAATATTAAAAAGTTATGTTTATATTACCAAAAAAAATATATTCAACTATATAAAATATGTAAAAAGTTTCTAAATTTTGAGACAAATATCGTGGAAACGTCAAAAAAAGTGTCTCGGAAATTGTAGAATTACGAATGCGTGTGAAAACAAAATTTACACAACTATACAAAATTATCAATTATATAAAATATTAAAAAGTTATGTTTATATTACCCAAAAAAACTTATAAAAAAATAATAATAATAAAGATTCATAATTCTAATGAATTCTAATGAGTATTTAAATGTTTTTGAAATTGTTAATATATATATNTATAGCATGAGGTTAGGTTATTTGTTTGTTTGTTCACTATGCCCACCTAAGTCTATGAAACTCAGCAGTTACGTTCAAATACTTCTAACTTAGATAATGTTGTATGTCCCACCCCAAATTATCAATAGAATTTCTATAAATTGATCAATTTCTGTCCACATTTGATTGTTGACTTAACATGTAGCACCATCTATTGGAAAAAAGTTAACAAAATAATTAACTAAATATAATTCTTACCAAAAAAAATATTATTTAAAAAATATATATTGTATTCACTGAATTACCGGGACAATGACATAGTGTGAAATAGATGTGCCATTACTGTGACAGGTAGTACAGTACATAGCACTTGCCTGTGTGGAGTGCAGTAGTGTTTGCCCCTGTATATCATACTTTTCCTGTTAGCAATAGAGTCATGTCAGTCCTATATATCTAACTCTGTTCAAGGAAAAATTTTTTACTTGAAATAGCATGACTGGCAGTACAAATTGGAAGTTCATATATGATTAGTCTGGTCTTCTTTCTCTTACAATTTCCATGTCTGGTCTCAACTTTCATCTACAAACTCCATTCTGGAGATTAAGGAAGGACAGACACCCAAATGGATGATAGCGGGAATTTATAGGTGTATAATTTTTTCAAATTGCAGTCCAATAAGTACCCTTCTGTAACCAAGTGGATAAAACCATCGAACACCAGCAGCCAGTCATGGGTTCACACATGACCAACAGACTGGCCACATGGAGTTTTCTGGGTTTTATTTGCATTAGTAGCATTTAAATTGGGGCCAGCTTTACATAAAAGTCTTTCCATGATGCATCTTCTTTGTCATATCACTCTCGTTTCACGTTGCTGTAACCAAATAAACCAAACTAATTCTAACAAGCAATTATCTATTGTGACATTGTCAGAATACCACACTGTAACTTTTCATCACAACGTTCTCAATTCTTTTAGTGGTGTCTTGCCCCTGTACATCATACTTTTCCTGTTAGCAATAGAGTCAAGTCGGTCATATATCAAACTCCATTTGAGGGAAAATTTTGAATTGAAGTAATGCTACGTCCATTCTAAACTGGAAGTTCGTATGTAGTTAATTTGGGCCTCTTGCACTAAGCTTTACACATCTGGTCTCGACTTTCATCTAATTCTTTCTTGTGATTAACCTGTCCTGTGTTATTCCTAATAATTCTCAAGGTAATGATCTCTGACCTAAAGCTTTTAACCCAAGATATCTCATTACAGTATGGGTACTTTTTTGGAACTAGACAGTGCTAATTGTTAGAATTTTTATATTAAAACTAACTTCCAAAATATAATTTTTTTGTTTTTATATTTATTAATATATCTATTTTGTTTGTGAAAAATAAAAATATAATTTCAGATGATACAATAGCCACAATTATTTTTTAAAAAAACATAAAATTTTTGTATAATTTTTGGTGTGTTCATAAAAACGTGTGTGGTCTGGCATTATCTTGGTGAAACACAATGCCTTTTCTATTGGCCAGTTTTGGATGTTTTTCTTTAATTGCCATGTTCAGTTTATCCAATTGGGAACAAAATCCCAATACTAATCAAAATCAATTGTTTGATTCTGTGGAAGCAGCTCGTAGTACAGAATTACTTTCCAATCCCACCAGATGGTGAGCATAACCTTCTTTGGACCAAATTCATCCAAAGAAGGTTATGCTCACCATCTGGTTGTTCATTTTTCTTACCCCATGATTGATTTTGGCTGATGTTATAAATGATCCACTTTTCATCACCTGTCAATAAATGCTTCAGAAAAGGGTCATTTTCATTTCATCTTTCAAGAGAATCACAAATGGAAATGCGATCCAGTAAGTTCTTTTCCGTTAAGTCGTAACAATTCATGTATCCGAGCTCCTTTAGATGTTGAAATACAGTACTGTTTGATGACTTCACTATGTTTGCAATCTCTCGAGTTGTGTAATGAGGGTTTTCATCCAATAATACTTTGATCTGGTCTTCTTCAATAATGAGAGGGAGCATCTTTAAGGTTGAAATTACCCGTTTTAAATTTTGCAAACCACTTTCAAACAGTCAATTCTGCTACAGCACTTCCACCGTAAACATCACATATTTTTTTTTTTTTGCTGTTTGTACAGCATTTTTACCTTTACAATTAAAAAAAAACAAGTGTTGATAATGTACGTTGTTCGCATCCATTTTTGCAATGAGACAAATTAAATGATATTTGAATAATCTTAACTTTTTTTAAACAGACACGTCTCAAGGTCATTTATCATAATATTCATTGGTTTGTATTATTTTAATCATTTTCGTGTCAGTGTCACGACTGTCAGCTATCAAAAATCGCTATGAACTTTCCGAACAACCCAACATATCTATTTATTTAATTTAATAAAATATGACTTTACCCAATGTTAATTTAATCACTAATACATGATGTTCCAAAAAAGGATTCAACCCAAAAGATCAAACTGTAAAATTTAATGTGCAGTTAGTTTAGTCATCATATTAGGCAAGTGGCAACACTATACTTGAAGTTAATGGCTTCTAACTATTGAAATAATCTTGTCATGCACTAGTCTCACTTAAGCATTCATTGTGTCAGATATGTCATTTTCCAAAGATGAATTTGTATTTATTGTTGAATCTTATTTTTTCGTAAGTCTTATAAATATGTGAGTGAAGAGTATCAGCTGAAGTTTCCTCAGACTGTAGTTCCTAACAAGTTGACAATATGTCATTTGATTGATAAATTTTGAGACACTGGGTCTGTATATGATTTAAAGAGCTCAGGGTAGCTATCATTGTTAAAACTGCCAAAATGTTTTGAAATGGATAAGAATCTGTATCTAGGTTGGAGGAAGTCATTTTCAACATAAGGTTAAATGGTAATTTGTGCCTTTTGTTGAATTTAAATATAGAAATAAAAATTTATGCATAAAAATACAAAAGAGGATTGCATCCTTTTTGAAGTGCCCCGTATACCCAAATTATACTATTTTCACTTGTACATTACTTTCCACTGAACCCCTAAAATAAAAAGTTTTCAAAATCATTTAATAATACTTAAAATATCTAAATTTAAATTTGTAACTTAATATTATTTTTAAAAACTGAAATTTTCTCATATTCTTTCAAATAAAAAAACAATTTTATTTTATCACACTTAAGAGTTAAGAGTGTTTAATAGTTATAAATTACAATTTATTTTCTCCTTAAAATTTTTTACATTTTTTTACTTTTTTAAGAATAATAATTTTAATATTTTAAAATTATTATTTTTAAAAATGCTTTTATTGATCTTTCCAAAATTGGGATGGAGATGGTGGGGTGAAGCCACCCTACCATAAACACTACCAACAGTGTCATTCACACACACATACACATCATAATTAAATTCTATACTTGATTGTATGATTTAATCTGATAAATATTAAATAGACCGACTGTTTATTTTGCCATGCCACTAATCTGATAAATTAATGTAAAACCTTTTTAAATTAAAAGAACACTTTAATTTAGGCAAGTGACATTATTATAAGATAGCATATACAATTATATACTTGATGTAATATGTTGATTAAAAGCAATAAAATCAAAGTTGATGCCACAAATGATTTTTTTTAGCATGCCTTGCTAATTAACAGGCTTTTTGATGTCCAAAAGTACAAAATTTCTTTACGACAACAGTGGTTGTGAAAGTTTTCTTTGAAAAATTATTTAAGAAATGCATCAATTTTTGCAAACATATAAACATTATAAAAGTTTAAGAGTTTTTGACTAACTTTTTCATTATCATTATTAAAAATAACATTTATAAAATGATGATAAAACTAATATTTAGCAGAATACACAAGAAATATGCAAGGAAGTCTACTTCCTTTGGCATAATATATATGCCAGGCAATCTACTACCTAGTTCATAGCATATTGTCTTGATTTTGTTCAGTAACTTTTACTAATTTCATTTTTATTGATATCGAAAAAAATGAAGCTAAGATACAATGTTACTTATAAGTGTCCAATGCATAGATTTCTTTCTATAAAACATAAAACCTTTGAGTACAATTTTCTGACTGACTAGGTGTAATTTAAATGTAATTTGTAAAAATTACTAAGAAAGTAATCAAAAATTTATTTATGCTAATTGATTCCCACATATTTGTAAATACAAATTAAAAAAAGAATGAAATGCAATTGAACCTAACTAATTTTAATAATCAATGGCATGGATAAAAAATAATCAAAATTTTGCATATTCTTGTAAAAGTTACTGTAACAGTAAAATTAAACAATAAAATTATGATAGACACAATTATAAAGAATTTCAAAAAATGTTATATTACCAACAATGTGGATGAAACAGAAGATGCTATTTGTTCAAGAAGACTAAAAAGCATGACAGCAATGAAATAGGAATCAGGAATGATAAACAACAAAAGTGATGAAGTATAGTTTCAATGACTTTCCAATTTTTTAAATGTAAACTGCTAAATTTTTGTATGAAAATAAAATAAGAAATAAAAGGTTAACTTATATAATGTTCTAATTTCTTTCAAAAAGTAAGGATTCCAAATTTGTGAGTCAACTTATTTTCAGGCCAATACAATATATTATGTAAAAATGCTAAAAAATGAAACACATTTTGAATGTTTTAGAAATGAATGGCAATCATTGGTTTGTTATATATTGCATTTTCTAAATTTAAATTAACAGAAACTCACTTCAGAAAGGCATCAAAGGCTTTACTTCTTAACTGCTGGCGATGAGTTTGAGGTCTAACTTGTTCTGACATCAACTCTAAACCAACCCCTACAAACAAATGACAACGAGACAGAAGTCCTTGTGATTGAGACAATTCTCTTTCCAAGGCTTTTTCAGACATTTTCAATCCATTATCAACTTGATTCAGATTTTCATAACAAATTCTTGCAGCAATAAGACAAGGTAATGGATTATTAGGTTGAAGTCTTATACATTCTTGAAGCACCAAATATGCACGATTGTGCTGAAATTCAATTTATATTGACATAAATACAAGAATTATCATTTGAATATTTCTATAAATATTTATTAAAATGTTTCTTACCTTCCCTGCAGAAGTTAAAGAAAGAGCAAATTGGAACCATATATGAAATTCTTCAAAAGCAAACTTCATCGCTCGTTCAAAAGACTACAAATACAATTTTTAATATATCAAATAAAATTCATAACCATTTTATAATTTTTTAAAGACAATTTTTTTGTTTATTTATCTCACACACAAACTAGTTTTGTAAAGAATAAAAATAATTATTAATAATATTCTATATACTTTAGATTTTTAGTATTATTGTTATTAATATTTCTCTAATTCATTTTCTCTTTACATCATCAAAAAATGACATTTCAAATTTTTTTATAGGAAAGGAATAATTTTAATATACAATAGAACTAAGTTAAAAATTTTAATTTCAAAGGTCCCAATTTTTCCCCCATAAGTATACTGAAATCTGGTAAATAAATTTGCTTAAGAAGTTTTTCAACTATTGCATGCTATCAAAAATTTTATACTTTTATTTTCATATGGAAAAAGAAAAAATTACATTAGGAAATGCACAAAATTTCATATGTCACTTCACTGCATTCATCATTTTGCACTACTTTGAACATGGATATTTCAATTTTCTTACATGGTTATCTGGCAACAATTCTTACAACAAACAGCAAATAGAATCACAGTGGAGAATACTCCAATGACAGAGTAGTTTTGATGTCATCTTGCAACAGAAAGAATGCTGCCACTTCAAGTTGATCTCATCTAAACTTTTTCATCCTGGTAAAAATCTGCATCACATTGCTTTGGATTGATAATTTTTTATGTTAATGCATGTCCAATAAACAGCAAGTGTTTTCTAAATTTTAGAAAGAACCCATTTTTCATAGTCATGATGATGCACTAAAAGACTTCTGAGAAAAATTTATGAAATTAAACTATGTCAATGAAAATCACTGTAAAGATTTCTGCTGAAGTTATCTGCAATGGTTTATTCAATTCTCTTTCTACAGTGTGAGATGGAAACTGACCATAAGTCTTCAACAAATTTTAGCATAGTATTTATCTTAGTTTGTGTAAGACATAAAAAAAAAAAAATATATATATATATATATATTTTACATAACAAAAGGGATGAAGCAAGCTACACTAGATAAGTATCTAATGTGGGAGACTTCACTTCCCTACTTGTTTTGCTTACTTCTCCCATGGGCTTGTCCCCTTATTCCTAATATAGACTATTCATAACATAAATTTTATGGTGATTCTTTGATTCCTGATGCTGTCATTTTTATTACGTTTTTCATCATGAGAAAAGTATTGTGATGATTTTAAGCTAAGTATTTTATATACAGAATAGATAAATGCTGTGTAAGCCTAATTGACAATAATGTAGTAGAACATTGTTAAATAAATATGGATTACTTAAAAAAAAGCTACATTATATTTCATTTCTGCTTGGTCCCTAGAAAAATTTCTTAATTGAGTTTTACTGTACAGTAGACTCCCCTGTAAAACAAATTCATATAGTTCGGATTCCTACCTATATCATGGCAAAAAAATTGCAACCGTATTCGTATAAACACACTAAAAGAGACTCGTCTAATTCAGTAAAACATCATCGCCGACTCTTATTGCAACAGGATTGGTTGAATCTAGACCAATAGCAGATATTGCACAAATTGTTGAGTTTAAATGAGCAGTGGACCTACTAAAAACCATTTATTATTTAACGGCCATAAAAATTATATTTATATTAATGATGTCTCCAAAGTTCAGCAAAGTTTTCACAAAAAAATAATTTATCAGGAAGCACGCGAGCACCATTCGATGCACCACTCCACAATGAAAACAAGCTTAAGCAATGGCACCATTGAATGGTGTACACTAGGTAAGTAATCCTACAATTTTTTGTCTATAGCATAGTTTATATGGATTATTCTCAAAAAATTATACGTATTTTGGAAATGTTGAGTCGAATTAGTCTAGAATCGATTAATTTTATGGAAGAAAACCTTTCAAACAGCCGTAGTCCGTAAACTGCATACGTGCCAGGCTGTGATTGGCTCATGTATTTAAGGACTCGTAGAAAATGAATTTCATAAAAACCGGAACTTATCTACCGTGTTATAGGGAGGTCAACTGTATTTGCATAAAATTTACATAAAAAAAAAAAAAATAGAAAGTACTGATTACAGAATATTATTTTTTAACAAAAACATTATATTAATTTTGGTTTATATAGTCTTTAGATAAAAAATATAATTTTATTTAAAAATTAATTATTTAATCTTATAAATTACAACAATAGAAATTTAAATAAAATTTTGTGTTCGTCGTTAAGAATTTATGATGTTAAATTATTTAATATAATATCAAAATATCTTAGATCTTACATCTTAATTATGATTCATGTGGTTAAAAACAAGAAATATACTGTTAATAACTCCACATTAAAACAAAATGTTTGTGATTCTGATATGCTGACAATGTTTTTTTTTAATTTTCAATTATCTGAATTAAATAAAAAAATATATTTATATATTATTATTGCATGAAAATTTATACTAAAAATATGATAAATGTCACCATGACAAGAAAAATTTTAATAAAAATGAATGTATACTTAAAGATAATTTTAAAAAAAATATTTTTACAAACTGGAGATTATATATTAAAATTTCCTAACATATTTCGTTGTATGCCAAGTTCTATACTTATATATTACTTATATATGTACAGTACAGTACTTATATATTTTATATATACATACATATATATATATATATATACATGAGAAATGTA